CGGATTGACTTTTTGTTGCTATTATGATGTTTTCGAATTCTGACAATTGAATAAAACATTTGTAACTATTTTTTTTTATGAAGTATACATTTACTTGTAAATTTAAAATGTTTTATGTTACAAAAATATATGATAAATAATTGAAGAAATGATGAAAAAATTTTTTATATACCTAAAATAATAAATTATATTATATATTTGGTAAGTGAAAATATGCATTATTTTAGACTGAACAGAAAGAAGTGGATACTCACAGTGAGGATGACGGTGAAAATGCGCGAACGAATCGAATAAAACAGGAGGAATTACGCAGAAGGGTGGGGCCCGTGCCTCATTTACCGTCACCCTATTCCAATAGCTCCGAGGGTGATATTAGCGATGACAGCGATGTCTCCCCCGCAGTTTCCCCCTTGACGCCTCTCCTCACGACTAATCAACGAAAACGCAGTGGTGCCCTACAAAGGCAACAGCTCTTAGAAATTATTCAAGCGAATATGGAAAAGAATAATCTCAGTTTTCATACGTCAAGGTATGCCTTTCGTGATCAATCGCATGTAAAATAGCGCGATATATTTTTTTTTTTAAAGGAAAAGGATTTGGTATAATCTTAAATATATTTATTAAATTGCGTTTAATACTAAAATTATTCATGTTTCAGCTATATTTTTTAAATTAATTTAATTATATTTCTTTATATATTAAAAATTTTCTTAAGTTTAAAGAAAATATTAAAAATATAAAAAAATTTATTGATAAAAGAGAAAAATAATGATAAAAGAATTACCAAATGTTTGCCAGGAAACGACATCAGAACGAGCAACTGCGCATTCCATCTCAAGTCCCACATGTCGAGTCTTCGCCTCACTACAATCAAGACTGTCGTTCACCGACGGAATCTCGGCCCACGGCGACTGCCTACCATAAACCTACTCGGGAAAAGCCTCAGGGTTTCACATCATTCTCCAAGGTACCTGCAAAGCATAGGGGGAATTTGAGAAAGACGCGGACACAGTACGGTCTTCAGAGGAATAATGCTACTGTGCAACCGCCGCGTGCTTACGTTCAACCTCAAGTTTTATCAAGAACAGTGATCAATCCAAACGTGTATACAGATCAACAAACTGCTAATACGAATCGCAATGGGAGCAATCTGATATCGAACAATCAACACCCCATCAATCAAACCACGACCAACAATCATAATGTTCAACGTAACGAGACACAATTTAGCCAAACACAACAATGTGGTAAGTCGAGCAAGAAGCATCATTTGAAACATGCAACCAGAGAACAGGATCAAGCTCGAGCCACGATTCAAGTCGTTCGTTGGTTGGAACGGGAATTCTCGCAAAATGCGGCAGCGAGCTCCGGCAGGAAACATGTTCATGAGCATATTCATCATCATTATCATCATTATCACACGGAGGCGCTTGTTTGATTCGTTCTTCGTTCGAGGAACTTTTGCGCAAATATAGTAAATTGTTTCGGTAATTGTGTTAATCCTCGAGTGATAGGATGGAGACTAAATGATCTATGTTCTTCCTTCAAAGATTTTTGTCTGATTGCTAGCTGCCGGAAATCTGTTAATGATCTTATATAAGTTTCTATTGGAAATTTGGAACTATTTTGTTCTTATATTATAGATTTTATGTCAATAAGATAAATGAGAATTGTATTCTACACTTTGAATGAAGATCAACTTTTGATCTCTAATTCTATAACTTGAGGATTAAAATTATTCTGAATGTTAAGATACCAATTTTATTAATTTATTTTTACTTCTGTAGCGGTTTGTACATTTTTATTTGTTCAAATGTACTGAGTTCCTGCAGTAAATTTTAATTCCGGAATATTAAGATATTCTATATGCAAATAATGAGGATCACTGCCACATTTTATTTTTTTAATAATCGAGATATTATCCAATTCGAATGTAGTTGATTTATGGCAAACCAAAGCGAGTTTTTAAAAATGTTTATTTAAATAGCTTTGGATCGTCAGTGATATCGACTAAGCAGTATATCGAGAAGTTTTATTCTTGAAACGTGTACTAATCCTGTTTATATTTTAACTATTTATCATACATAAGACAATCTTTTCTCGTTTTTCTTTTGGAATTTTAGGAAAAACGATAACAGATATATATTTTTTTTCAATTTATAATAATTACAAACTTACAGGAAAGTTTTACAATGATACCAATGATCTATTACTATACCGAAGTATTTACTAGGTATTTACTATGAAGGCTATTCTGAAATTTTTACATATTCGTTCTTGACATTTATACACGATATTGATTCATTTTTGTATATAATCGTTTGTAAAATAATGACATTTGACGATTTTTAATATAATTTTTTACAAAAGTTTGTATACAATTTTTTAAATTGACTTGTATTAGAAGAAAAATTGTTTTAATTTTTCTTCGATTTAGAATCACGTACAAAGACGTACAAAATCTCTCATTTTAATTTATGTAATTTTATCTTTTAGTACAAAGTGTAAAGATTTATTCTACACAAAAATTTTATTTTAATTTGATAAAAATATAAATTGTTTTGTTTCTTACGATTAATGATATAATTGATAATAATGATTTTAATTCAATTCACTTGATCTATTTATAATAAATAATAATCATTTTTAAGAAAAAACAGTATTAATGCGTAATACACAATAATGTTGTTTATGAATTCAAATTAAAATTGTTAAAAATTACAGATTCTGTGTGCAAACTAGAAAATCACAGGAACTAGAAATATTTTAATAATCATGGCATTTTCAATAGATGCAAGAATAATTCTTAAGGATCGGTATGTATTCATATAAGAGACAAAGTGTTTCTTTAACTTGAGTTTTATCATTGAGCTCAAGGTATAAGCAAATAGTCAAGGAATAGTGTCCGTTGATTTTATCTTGAATTCTAAATGATTTTTAAAATAATTTTTCTTTGGATACTTTTCCTTGAAATAATCTATAATTCGAAATGTATTTATTTAACTGAATTATAAAGTAAGCAAAATGTAGATAAATATTTAATCAAAGTATCGAGAGTATTGACTGATTGCGAAATTTTTGATATAACAAAGATAATAATTTTAAAAGAATTGCACTAAAATTTTATATTATAATAAATATAATATAATATTATAAAATATTATCATATAAAATTTTAAATAAAGTAATTTAATTCATAATTTTTGTAGATAATAATTTCTAAAGATATGTTTGTGGAATAAAATAAAGTAAATCTTGTTAATTTAAAAATATATAGAATGGAAAGTAAGTTTTTAAAATCTATTATTATTATAATATTTTTGCAATCATTCAATATCTTTCTTGATATTAAACATTGTAATTTTTAAGAAAACTATACTTTTTAAAGTTGGTTTCATAAAAATTACAATAAAAATTGATGGTGCTTCTGTATTCCAACGAATACAATAATATGCCCCGTAATAGCGTTGATCATTATTGCGTTGTAGCTATATAATATTTGACAATACAAAAAAATATTAGAGTAATGTAATTATTATAAGAAAACATTGTGAAATTTGTATCCTCAATTTTTGTTTTAATTTTGCAATTTTTAAATAATGAATTAGTAGCAAAATATGTAATTTCAGAAAATTATTATTCATTTATTATACTATTTTTTGCTAATTTTAATAATATAAAAAAATGATAATTTTATTTAAAAATTTTGAAATAAATTTTAATTTTTTTTTATTTAATTATAATTGCATAAAATATAAATTTTAATTTAGAACTCATTTTTATTGAAAAAGAAATAATTTTATATACATATATTATGTATAATATATTTTTTTTAAGATTTAATAATCGTTATTAAAAATGTAATTAGAACATATAAATAATTATAATCAATATAAGAAATATGATCTAAACTTATGACAATGATAAAAATCTTATGTCAAGAATTAATTGAGGAATTGTTATGTATACGTATCTTTTGAAATTTAATATTGAACAAATTTTTATAAAAAAAAAAAAGTGAAAAGAATGGACTTGTTAAGAGTGCCTTGTCATATCTCTGTTACTAATATGCAAGTATTAATTATTATCAAATTAAATATCGAATGTTTATTTTACTTAAATATTTCCTTAAATGAATCGATTTATTATTAACATAGCTACAATAATTTTCATTTTAATGATATATCAATAAACCACTTTATATTATTTGGAAACGCATAATGCTTAAGATCTAAATAACTGAAATTATTACGGATATTTTTCTATCTAAGTACTCAAAGAAAAGAGGATTATAATTATAATATTTATTAATTATAATAGATATTACTAACAATATGATTAAATACGACAATTGCTACTTTGTATATTTATAAGTCTTGGATAGTAATGCTGTCCATTGACATGTAATTTTATATCAATCTTTGTAATCATTGTAGATATTTTGTGTAATGTATTTTTTATTAATATTTATTAAAAACACATTTTGATATTAAATTATCGGAATTCATCGTGGAATTCTTCTAAAAGTGTTTCATAAAACAAGTCAATAAAATCTAAATACTATTTTCACTTTTATATTCGTTTTTTTCTTTTCTACCTTATTTTTTGATTATAAATATGCTCTCGTAAATATCATTTATTTTTGTATACATGCTGAGTTTTAGCATTTACCAATACGTGTAATACATCTCTATTTCATCGAAATAATATTTATTTCAATAAATCACAACTAAATGTTTGATAATGATAATAATTATTTCAATTGATATAATGATTGATATTAAAATTAAATATCTTGTATACATATATAAACTGCATTTTATACATAATTATATTTACATAAACCATTATGAAATAGATAATTGCAATAATGATATTACATATAATTTTTCAATTATAAAAAATTGTTTTTAATAATAAACGAAGATTAAAAATAATTTTTTATATTGTAATTAAAGATTAGTTATTAAGATATTTTAAGAAAATATTTTTAATCAAAAAAAAAAAAAAATAAAAAAAAATATCTATATTTTTTACATTTAAGATTAAAATACATTATATTATTTTTTAAAGAAAAATAAAAATATGAATATTCAATGAATATTTCGTACTTCATTTGTAATTACGCGCCAAAAGCAAACATAGACAAAAAAAAACAAATAAGAAAAGGATAGAGATAGATTAAAAATTATGGAATCAGCGCCATCTCTAGAGTGCCGTAAATGAAACTAAAATAGACAAAAAAAAGTATAAGAATTAACTATCAATGCCATCTCTTGAGTATTTTTAGAAAATTGTTTTTATCATTCAAAAGATAATACTGATTTTAAATTTTATTCTATTTTATCTTGTTTTTAAAGAAATATCTATGATATTCTGGAGATGGCATTGATTTCAATATTTTTATTACCTTTTTCTTTTGTTTGGTTTATTTATATTTGGTCTATAAAATTTATACGTAACTGTGTATATGAATAATTTTAGCAATTAACAAATGTCGATACTGCTTAATACCTGTAATTAAAACCAGAGGGCAATATTATAGTTCTTCTAAATTCTGTTTTGTCACAGTTAGAGCATAAACGAGCATGACAATGGATGCACGTAGAAGAGATAGAGAGCAAATTGGATTATGTGGTGTTGACAGAATTTGGGGAAAATCGCCAACACGAATCGAAGAGTAAGAAGTTATAATAATTTGTATTATTATTATTCAAATTATTTTATATTATCAATAAGATTGATAATTTTAAATAATTTATTTTTTATAATGATATTTTATTCTCAAAAATTATGATATATATAATAAATATTGTATAATTGAAACAGTTCTGATGAAGATGAAGAAATTAATCGATACAAAGACAACATTATGCCAAGAATTAGAAAAAGAAAACAAGAAATGAAGAAGAAGGTATGAAAGTATAATTTTTATTTCTTTAATAACTAACTTTTTTTATAATACTTTCAATATTTTTTTTATAAAAATTTTATATGAAATTTATTTTGTTTATATCCTCTTATAATAATTACTACTTTTAATATATATTATTTTATTATTTTTTATTATTTCATTGTTCTAGAAAAGTAAAAAATTAAAAAAGGAAAAGAAAGCTAAAAAAGAAAAAAAGAAAAAATATAAAAAGAAAAAGAAAAAATCAGATAGTAGTTCTGATAGTGAATTGGAGGAATTGGAATGGGTAGAAAAAAATGGAATTAATGACAAAGCAAAGATTAAAAAAGGATCAAGTTCAGATGAAAGTGGTGATGAAGGCATAGTAGGCCCAGTTCAGAAACCACATGTGACATTATCTGCTAAAGATTTTGGCAAAGCTCTTCTGCCTGGTGAAGGTGCTGCTATGGCTGCATATGTTGCAGAAGGAAAACGTATACCTAGAAGAGGTGAAATTGGTTTAACTTCTGAAGAGATTGCTGCATATGAAGCTGTTGGTTATGTTATGAGTGGTAGCAGGTAAACCATTCTATTAAATATTCTTAATTAAATTTCATTAGAATATAATGAAACTCAATAACAGATATATATTTTAATATTAATATTAATATTTATTTCAGACATCGACGAATGGAAGCTGTTCGTATCCGAAAAGAGAACCAGATTTATTCTGCTGATGAGAAACGAGCATTAGCTATGTTTAGTAAAGAAGAACGACAAAAAAGAGAAAATCTTATTTTGGGACAATTTAGAGAGATGGTTAATCAAAAATTGGCACAAGAACAAAAAAAGAAAATAACATGATTGTTTTATATAAAAATAATATCTTTGATAATGTATATAAAATTCTTGAATGTATTATAAGATATTATTATGTATTATAAGATATTTATATATATATATATATATATACATACATTAAAATATATTATCTACTTATTATTAATTAATTATACATTATATGATACATTAATTGCTATGAAAAACAAATTAAAAAATTTTCATTTTATGAATAATATTAAATTATTATTAAGCATTTTAATACACAAAATATTATTTTTTAACATTTGCTTTTATTTTTTACTTCTTCTTTCCCAATCCCGCCATCCTCCAATATAATTATAGGTACTATAATAAATAAATATGATTAATTATATAGTAAATCTATAAAACATTATGAACTATATATTTTTTAAATTAATATACTTTAATATAATAGTTAACTATACTTTTTATATCCAAGTTTTTGCATTTGTTTCTGAATTATACCACTTCTTCTTCCAGCTCTACAGCAAAATATGATTTTTGTATTTTTGGAAGGTTTCTCTTTGTTAAACTTATTTTTAAATTCTTTATTCGAAAAGTTTATCAATGTATTTTCAACATCAGACACTATAATAATATAATTCATTATAACAGCTTTTAACATTTTTAAAAATAATTATTTCTGTTAAAACATACTTGGTATATTAATACTTCCAGGTATTTTTCCAGTTTCACCAATTTCTTCTTTTTCTCTAACATCAATAATTAAAATATCACGGTCTCTTTGAGCTCTTAAAATATCACTATAACCAACATCATATGATTCTTCGGACATGATTTTATTGTTAAGAAGTGAAGTTGAAAATTGTGAGATAACTTGAACTAAAAAATAATACATTTGATTTTATATTTTTGACTGTAAATAAAATTTTATTACATTTACATGATATGATCTTTATGATTTGTTTATTAATAATAATAATAATATTAATTTAAAATATATAATGAAAATTAGAATAAAAATGACCTTTCATATTTTTTATAAATTGTTAAATAAATGACTTCGCAAATACTTCTTTTTTTTTGTAAATTACCGTAAGGAAATATCCTATATGAAGAGATTTTTAATAATTTATTATAAATACTTTTTTCTGGTTTAACAAACATATTATGAAATAACAATTTAAAAAATATAGGTTTATAACACTGACGTAATTTATTAAAATTCATAATCTATTATTATTAATCTATTCACAATCATATAACATGAATTCTACATAAATTATTTTATAATATATTATAAATATAAACATATAGATGTATATATAAACATATATATATGTATATATACATAAGCTTAGTTCTGATAAAAATTATCTTTATATTATAATATTATTTACATTAAAATGATTATTTCTAATGGTTTTAATATAATTATATTTGTTTATATTAATAATTATATTAATAAATGCAAATATTAATAACATTATTTAATATTATTCAATAATCAATTTTGACTATTATCCTATACCAATGGATGCGACTTAAATATTTGTATTATGTAATATAATATGATAATAATGAAAATTGTCTTGTTTTTTTCAATTATATATATTAAAATGTATTTTTATATGACAATATTTATTTAAAATATTATATAAAAATCTATTATAAATATTTATGTATGTATAGTTTGCGTACATTGACAGAACAATGAACTTGACATAAATATTTTATTTAAGAATAAAGAATGAAAACATTGATCAATATACGAGAAAGAAAGGAATTGTTACATTTATTATAAATATAAATATAAAAAAAATATACAATAATAAAAAAAAAATATATAAGGATGACATTCTCCATACATTGCTTTTTAGTGATTCATCTACAGATGAAGAAAAAAATTGGAAAACTTTAGAAGAGTCAGGAAGAGCGTATCCCGCTTTCGTATACGTCGCACCCTGATGAGGAATGCAGGAACTAATAATTTTTATTTCTCGTGCGTGGAGTTGTAAAGTGTACTAATTTATTGAAATAATTACGACACTCATCCCGTTTTTGCACTTTCGCATAATGTGAGTAATCGGACATTAAATTGATAGGACCATTTGCTTACATTTCGATAACATATAAAAAATTTTTGTTGGCTATAGTTCGATATTATATTTTTTGTTTATTTATACAGCCCTTCAAGTTTAAAAATTTGTAAAAAATATAAAAAATCGCGTGTAAAAATAGCGTTTTCGATTTTGCAACATGGAATATATTGATGAGTTAAATTCGTAAGACTTCGAATACTTTCTCATTACAATGTTACGCATCAACGAAAAATTCAATATCTCCGGATTATCAACATTCCAGAGTGTTGACACCTCTGTCAGAGTGCTCTGCTTTACCATTATTATAACATCACCATCTCTTTCTTTAATATTAACTTCTTATAATTCTCTCTCAGTTTCTTGTTTTCGAATGCCGCGTAGTGTCAAATACAAGAATGCATGAATAAGTTTACATTCTCATTAGTTTTTAACGTGTAAGGATAGGAAAATGATTAATCTATGAGATTAATAATTTGTATTTTTCTCGTTCATATTTTCGATGAATTTTGAGACAAAATACTTTTAAATATTTATTTAAGTGTATTGTATAAAAAATTCTTGTAAATATAATAAAAATTCTTGTAAATATAATAAAAATTTATGTTTTACAAGAACTTATATCAATAAATCTATTTTTATTAATTTTTCTAATATGTAGTTATATATTATATGAATGTGCATAAAGCTTATTGAAATATAATAAATCAATTTTTGTAAAATTATTTTTTGCTAGAATATAGTAATGATAATATAATACAAAATAATAAAAATTATATATAAATAAATGATTTATTTATATATAATTATTATATATATATATATAAATGATTTTATATATTTCATGAACAATTGTGAAAAAAATAATTTTATACATTTACAGATAAAACATAACAGGTGTAAATGAAACAATAGAAAAATGAGTTCTTTGCAACAAGGTAGCAGATTTTTACCTTTTTCAAATAATAATATACAAAGGAAGCAACTATCAATGCAAGGTATTAGAAAAATTTGAAATTTGTTTTTAGAATTGCTTTTGAAAATTTATTAATATTTTTAAGATAATGAAATATTAAATATAATAAAATATAATATGAAATTTCAATTTATATACAAGTTTATGAAATTATAATTTTTTTAAATATTTTATATTCATTTATTAGGTGGTCTTCCACAAAGTTTAAGTGGTAGTGAAACTGATGTTTCAACTTCAAATGAGAATCTAACCAATGAAGATCGCTATGTTATAAGACATACAGCTCGCCAAGAACCTCAAGGTCAAGAAAATCAGCAGCAAAGTCCATCCAGATCTTCCAGTCATAAAGAAAACATACCAAATATACAAGTATGTATAATTATATTTATTTTTAACTATTTATTAATTGTATATTTTTAATAATTTTATTGATAGTAATTTATATTAATATTTAATATTAATCATATACATATTTTTTTTGTATTTTTTTATTTTTATTAATCACTTTTGTGCATCATATATTTTTATTCCCTCTTATTATCTGTGAGATAAGTGTAGACATTCTTTAATGCCTAGTTATTTACCCATATTATTCTTACGTATCTTAAATTGCTACCTGTATTATTAAGTTACATAAGTGTAAATTACTTTATTGCAATCTAGGGTAACCTGCTCAACAGAAATAGTTTAAAGGACAGTTTGAATGGTTCAAACAGAAACAGTTTAAAAGAGAATTTAAATGGTTCTAATCGAAATAGTCTTAAAGACAGCATTAATGGTTCTAATAGAAATAGTTTGAAAGATAATTTAAGTAATCGTACCAGTGTAGGTTCAAATAGAAGTAGCTTAGATGTGTCTACAAGCTCCTACAATACACTTATAATACATAATGCTAATGATGATAATTCATGGGTACCATCTGGAAGGTAATATATTTAAATATATATTTATTAAAAAAATTTTATTATATTTTTAAGAAAAAATTATAGAACAATTAGAATTAGATTTATATTTATAATTTTATATAAATATTTTGTAAATATTGATATTTAATTTTAGGCTGTCAAGTGTAGTAAGAGAACATGGAGATATGGGTTATTTATATTGTGATGCTGGTGGAAAAGGACATTCAAATAGTCCTACTATGCAATCTTTATCAAATTTAACTCATGAAGATCATATTTATGAGCAATCTAATAATGGAGGATGTCAAGAAATAACAGATATACCAGATGATTATCTCAGTCAATCGCAGGTGATTATCATAATTTATATTTTAGTAATAATATATAACAAATGAATATTCCATTTATAAAAAAATTATTTTATTATAATTTAAATTTGATTAAATATAATTAATTCTTTATTATTTTATTATTTTACTTTAATAAAACCAAGCAGGTATTAAAACATCTTGCAAAAGAAGTTAAAGTACCATCTTATAGTAAGTTAACAAATAATGGAGGAAATATTGATATGAGAATGAGAGATGGTGATAGAGGGAAACAAAATGATAGTGAGTCAGAAGATAGACCACCACCTTCATATATGTCTGTTTTATTACCTTTAAAAAATAAATCTCGACTTCTTGGACCAATGGAAAAATTAACATTATCAAGATCACAACCTGATTTGTCTAGAATTGGCAAACCAGATATTGATAATTATAATTTACGGGCGACTTCACCACGGTAATTTAATTAAATTGATTATTGAAATTAATTAATTTTTGATAAATCAGAAGTAATATTTTATATTTAATATTTTTATAGACCTCAAACAAAAGGAAGAGAAGAAACAGAATCTGCAACAGGTGAAATTTGGCCACCATCAGAAATGATACAAATTGTAATCCAAGAAAATAGTGCCTTAAAACTAGAATTAGAGCGGTGTTATAACAAAGTTGCTAAATCTCAAAAGTTGGAACAAGAAATTGCAAAAGTGCATAGGGCTCACGAAGAATTGGCTGCGTCAAGTGAACGAAGAGAGAAACTGGAACGAGCTGCTAGATTGAGATTACAAAATGATTGTAGACGATTAACCGAATTAAATCGTGCGTTGCGAGATCAAATAGATTTATTATCAGCACGTACTGATAGTCCTCCGATCGTGGAATCTATGAGAAAAGAATTAACACAACGAGAATTATTAATTGGCCAATTGATTACACAAAGTAAATGTATTTTAAATATATTTTACTATTTATCATCATTCAGTTCATTGTTTTAACCATATTTATTTTTATGTTAGATAAAGAACTAGCTGCGGCGAAAGAAAGACAGGAAATCGAATTAGCAGCACAAAGAGCAACGTTACAGGAACAACGTACACATATAGATATTCTAGACACTGCTCTCACTAATGCACAAGGCAATGTGGTGCGTCTTGAAGAAGAGGTAATTTTTTATTTATTTTTCAATAAATTGTTTCATATTTCATATTTTATATTTACAAGTTTTTTTTTTATATTTATTTTTTTTACAGTGTCGAAAAAAACAAGTATATGTAGAAAGGGTAGGTCAACTTCAACGAGCTTTGTCTTCTCTTCAAGCATCCAGCGATAGAAGAGAAGAAACAGAAAGACAGTTGAGAGGTCAATTAGAACGGGAATTAAGAGAAGGTGGAGGTGGCGGTGGCGGTGGTGCTAATGGTAATGAACAATCTTCTAATGGAGAAACAATCGCAGAGTTAAAACGACGAATACGCGAAAGAGATGAAAAAATTATGTCACTGGAAGGTGATGTTGCAAAATGGGAACAACGTTATCTCGAAGAAAGTGCTTTAAGACAAGCAGCAATTGATGCAGCTAGTTTACCAAAGTAAGTTAATAATTTTAATAGCTAGCTAATAATTTTTTTATTATATTCATATTAATTATAATTTATTTTTTTGAATAATTAGGGATGCAAAGATAGCTGCGTTAGAAAAAACAAGTCAAGATGCAGAAAAATTAATTGCAGAAGCACGATCCGAAAAAATGAGACACATGGATGAAGTTCATGCTGCACAAAAAAAATTGGCTGATCTTGAATCTAGGTAATATTATTATTTCACATAATTTATTTATTTTTTTTATGATTGTAATTTTTTTATGTTCTGTTTTGGATTCTAATGATTTTTTGTTTCATAGAATGAAAGATCTAGAATCGAAGTTAGCTGAAAGGGATGCAATGATTAGAGTTCTTCAAAAACATACATATGATAAGGATAGTAGCAGCAGTAGTGGTGTTGGTAGTTA